GCTAAAACAACCAAACCTGCTTTAAACTTGCCTGACCCAAACCCTTTAAAAAATGTATGAGCTCTTCTTAAAAACAAGATTTCTGACACCGGAACCAACACATTGATGGAGCCTTTGAAATGCATAGAATAACATGGAATCTTTTATTTGTTATATGTAACAAATAAAGCTTGAAAAAGAACCACACACCCACTTGCTCTCCTTATTGAGCCATTCCAACACAATTTACAATAGAGGGAGGTGGAATCCGACTGGAATAGGAGGGATGTATTATGCTTGGAAGTTGTGAGAAGAAACTTACAGAATATGTTACTTTTTATGTTGTGGTTTTGGCTTTTTGACACATTGCATCCGTTTGTTTTAACAAAAGGAAACTGTAAGTAGAAGCCTAATTAAATAATAGGTAAAGTCAGAGTTATGTAGCGGTAGAGCTTGGAATCCAGAGGTTCTGAGTTCAAGCCCCACTCCCACAGAATGCCACTCTGGCTCTCTGAGCAAGACCCTTAACCCCAAACTGCTCCCCGGGCGCACCACGATGGCAGCCAACTGCTCCCCAAGGGGATGGGTTAAATGCAGAGATCATTTTCTCTAATTGCTGCTCAGTGGCGCAGTGGATAGCACTGCTGCCTTGCAGCAAGAAGGTTCTGGCCCAGGGTCTTTCTGCATGGAGTTTGCATGTTCTCCCTCAGCATGCGTGGGTTCTCTCCGGGTACTCTGGCTTCCTCCCACAGTCCAAAAACATGACTGTTAGGTTAATTGGCTTCTCTACAGTTCCTTTAGGTGTGAGTGTGTGAATGTGAATGTGTTGCCCTGCAATGGACTGGTGACCTGTCCAGGGTGTACCCAGCCTCTTGCCTATTGACTCCTCGCGACCCCACTCGGGATAAGCATGCTAGAAAATGGATGTATATATCTACATTTATAGAATAAGTGCATTTACCCTTAATTGAAGTATGTAAATAAGATGATACATCAGCGGAATTAGTATCTTTCTCCTTAAAATTCTATCCTTATGCACTTAAAATAAGCCAAGGAATTGTTTTCTTATTTCAGACAAAAATGGTCCTATCACAATGGCAAACTGTCTAATTTACCTATTAAAATGAAAAAAAAAACATTTATTTTTAAGAAAAATTTACTTAGCTAAATTTCCATTTTTGCAGTGTATTTCCAAATTAATAAGAGAAAATAGTAGCTTGTATTACAGAGAAAAACAAAAAAGTGTCCATATTGAGAAGCATATAGCTGTTCTCTAAGAAGGGACATGCATCAGAAATGGCTAATGAATTGTCACTAAAAGGCATCCTTTTGAATGCCTTTCTGAATGCAGGACGACCACTAAAAACTGGCAAGACTGAAAAATATATCATATATAAAGGTTTGATTCACCAAGCAACTGCTGAGATCAGACTCTGTGTTGCAGTTTGGAAAAAGGGAGATGCTATTATAATAAAGATTCTGGTCAGAACTGGAGCATAAAAGACAGTGTCTTTTTAAAAGATGCCAGAATGTCTTTTCCCCAAGCAGTTGAAAGCCATTGTGATGAATCATATATAGAATAGCCTCAGAAACACTGTAATTTAGATACACAGGCATGGTGATTAAAAGGTTTATGTAGTTAAAATAGGTCCGTCAGAAACAACACCTAATCTTTTTGCAGTCCCTTTTATGACCCTAAAACGTATGGCTTTTGTATTTTATATATTAAGTTGGAGGAAATTCAGATTGATTCACTCGTCAGTGTTATGGACACGTGACTAAGCTTCTGTTTATTTCTTTGAGTCACAGATCTAAGTTGTATCAGATGCAGATGGTATCACCCCAATAAGTTTTTTTCTATCTGGTTTTGTCGCTTCATTCTTTGTCTCACGCCAAAGGGCACTAACTAATACAATGCATTTTTCACAATATTCTAATGTTCCCATTAGGTACATTATATATTTAGCTAAAATATATATGTCAGCAGTTAAACCTCTTCAAAATTCAATGAAGAATGTTATGGTTATTCACTTTATTCCGATGCAACTGTTACCAAACAGCTTACATCATTTGTCTTCAAAGTCTGTTGCAAACCAGAGATCTAAAAAAAAAACACCCTTTACCGATATCTGGTAATCATGTTCACCATGAATTCCAAAGTGTTTTCAGCTTCCACAGTGCTAATTGTGGTATTGATTTGGATGTAGACAACCTCAGAAAGTCACGTTTCAGCTCTTTTTTGCTGAGCTTTTGTAACTGTAAATGCAGTTAATTGCAGCATGCCTTTGCTCCGTGTCACAGACAAGAACATGCACATTGCATCTGAATGAAAGCATGAGCGTCCAAGCTAACAATGTGGTCATAATGGCTCTGCCAGAAAACAAATGATAGAAAAATACACTATCACTTTAAAAATAGGATAGAGGATGAATGGTTCATAAAATAGGTTTGGCCTGAGTACAGCAGCCTAAAATACGAGAGCATAGTGATGACAGATGGCCTGTGAAAGAACTGGGATGATTGCAGAAGCAGGCGGTGAAGAGGCAACCAACCAGGGTATCTAGATAATTCTGACAGTATCTCAAAACTGTAGCTGGCAAAACAAAAATCGTATTAATTTAATCAAAAAGCTTTTTTTTAATAATTATTTAAAATGGGTTTTTCATAATTTCTTAAATCATTAAAATATGTTGATTAGGCATGGCGAGTGCATTGCAAAGGGAACATGAAAATATTTTATTTCTTAGGATGTAAGATAAAATAGCGGTGGGAGCTGTTTTGCTTTGTGAACACCAAACTAAAAATAAAACAAGCTTTTTTTCAACTAAAAAGTATGTTTTTCTTTGAGTTTACCCTTTAAAGCCTGATCCAAGAATAAAACAATACAGAAATTTGCTTTTTTTTGGTTTGAATTTCTTGTTTGCCCTTTTCACAAAATATGTAAAAAGAAAAAACAGAAATACATTTTTGATATTAATAATTTATTACTATGCGATAAGTCAAGATTATTTTTTGTGTAGTCTCAGGTGTAGCTCAGGTGTCTGAATGAAAACAAAGTAAAACTAGTTAGGTCAGTCTGAATATAATTTTTCTTTTGTATTTTGTTCACAATTCATCAAGTTTAAATATGACTACCGTATAAGGGAGTTACTCAGAGGAGCTGTGGTTTAATAAATACAGGTTTATAATATGATTTTATTTCGTATTTATTTCGATTCCTTGCAAACTTCCAGGTAACATATATATTTTTTTTATTAGGAGATAAAAAAAAAAAAAACATAAAATGCCTAAGAATTAAATGCTGAAATTAAAAGATTAAGTAAGATAGTTTTTATTTAATAATCAGTTATTGTATGATTCTCTTTTGGACAATAATCGATCCTTTTGTCTTACCAAGGGGTACTCATGGTAAGACAAAATGCCTAAAGGGGAACACAAGTCAAAAAAGGTTGGGAAACACTGGTATGTAGTAAAGAAGCTGGTATACAGTATAGAAGTTGGTATACTGTAAAGAAGCTGGTATACAATATAGAAGTTGTCATATATCTGAAGCTGGAGCGTCAGATATATGGTTAAATACTGACATCTGGTGGATAGCTGTAGCTATGACAGGTTAAAGCTCTTTACATGATACATGCACAGCATCCATACAGGTATCTTTTGCTTAAAGTCAATTCAAATCATGTTTCTTACCAATAACACCAACTTCGGTTTGACAGAGACTACAAAGGTTATATTATCTACAATTACTGCTAATGACATTGCGTTGATACAGTAAATTTAGCACAACTTTTAGCAGCAGACTCAACCAACTGTAGAAAGAATACAGGTAAGGTATCAGATAGACTGTACTGTATGAATCAGTGTCAGAGCATGATTTCATGTTGTTTTTGGTTAAAGTTTTATATCAAATTTTATATCACAGAGTTATTTATGTTAGGTAGTTCTATCTTGGCCTAAGACAGATGGGCCATCTTATTCATGTATTTGTTTATTTTCAAATGAGACAGAGTGGCACGCTGATCTTCACTACAACACAAACAGAAATGCATCCAGCTGCAGAATCATGTTAATTTCCAATTTTTTGCCCCATTTTGATATTACCCACTGACGATCCAATGAAATAACAAAATACTCACCTTAATTCTTTTTCTTTTTTTTCTATACATTTAAAAGCCTCAAGATAAAATATGTGATACAAACAAAAAATGCACACAACATTCCAGGCATCTCCACATTTAATTTTCTTTCATCAATATCCCCATCCCAGCACACAAGGTTTGAACAGCACCATAAGTAATTGTACTTAATGATTTTTTGGGGGCACAATTTCTGTTTGGAGAAAGAAATATTAAAGTATTATAATGGAAAATCCTTGACCATAAATCTAAAAGACTGAACTGTAAAGCCCAGATATCAAAATTAGATAATCAAAGTCAGCAGAAAATGTGTTTCTCCCTAAACTAATCAAAAAGAACATTTTCATATTACTATAACGGTAGTCACACTTGTACATCCTAAAGTGTCCCTTTCTACAGTGTACAAAAATCTGAGCATTAGGCTAATAAGGTCCAAACATCTCCCACTATGCTTAAGTAGCATAGTGATGACATTTGTTGTGAGTTTGGTGCTATATAAATAAACTGAATTGAATTGATCTTGAGCCAAGGTGCCTCGGATGTTCCGTATGTGGCAAATTTCTGTGGCATGAGTGTTGAAACTTTTAGACATTTATAAAGCAGTGTCTTTTCTAAAAAATATATATCTGTTTTGTTTTTTTTTTTTTTTTTTTTTTTTTGTTAAAATGTGTTTATGTTTTTATCTAAGTATACACACTGGGGCTGTGTTCAAGAAAATAGATACCATAAACAGAAAGGAGACTTTGTGTTTTGTTTTTTTCTTACTTCTTTTTTCACCATGACAAAATAAAAGTATCTTCTCATCTGAATTTATTTAAATGTATACAAGAGGTTCCCACTAACAATTTCATCATATATTTAACCAAGATGAAGCAAAAATGAAAAAAAAAAAGTTTAGTGGACAAACAATCACTGCTGTTAAAAAGTTAAGAATCAGGTCGACTCCAACATGAAGCTTTAGATTATTCATTTGTTTATTAGAATTATTAGAGGGGGCAATTATTGCTGCAATTTCACTCCTTGTTAAGATCACAAGTACATACAGTGCCTTTGCCCCTCCTGTTGGTCTATATGAGTATAACAGACTACCTCAGAACCTCTATAACAGTATGATGATGATCTTTGATGATCAAAATTTCATGAATCTGTTCTGCTACCTTGACAACGTGATGGTTTTTGCACCTAGTGAGGAGGAAGCATTCAAAATACTACGGTTGGTCTTTAAGAGAGTTAGAGCCCACAATCTGAAACTAGGAACAAAAAATGCTACTTCTTTACCCGCTCTGTTTACTTTCTGAGTTATTTTATAGACAGCAGTGGTGTAGCAACAGATTCAGCCAAAGTAGAGGCCATAACAAATGTAACTAAAGCAGATTTGATGTCTTCTGATGGTCAAACTCCATGCCCCAGGGAAGACAAATTTATTTTGGCGATTAGTCATGTGGTACCAATGCTTTATCCTAAATTGTTGCACTCTTGCAAAACTTTTTTTTCGATTGACATCTGACTTGAAGCCCAAAAGAACCAAATGGATATATATAGACTATAGACTTTTTGAATAGTAAATTTTGACAAATTCTGAGTGGAGAATGTAACAGGACAGTTTTATCAATCTTTTCAAAATTATTTTTTTAATTCTTATTTTTACTCCCATTGACTGTTTGCCAATTCCATCCTAGTGGGCAGGAGCTACAAATGATTACCACCAACAACCACCAACTTTATGTAACAATGACTGATTAAACCAGATGAAACAAAGTGAAGGGTGTTCTTCAATCAGTCCATCAACAACAAACTAAGAAGTAAGGGTTACATATCATATATCCTATTGTTTGGGGTACATTTTGAGCCCAACTGAAATACTCAGTTAACAATGATGAGCTATACTTACTCCTTCAGGCAAGAAATGTGCACCTCATCTGTAAGATCCTTCCGAAGAAGCTTATAGATATGTTCAGGCTCATAACTGAGCTCTCATATCACAGCATTGCACCAGGCAGATTTTAAGTGAATTGTGTCGACCACAGTCTACACAACCCAGAAGCTAAACTGCTCGTTTTCTGAGCATCTAAGAAAAATGTGGGGAGAATCATGTGTTGCTTTATACTAATCCATCAAAACAGACCTGAGACAGAAAAACTGAGGAACTGGGTGATCAGTTCCATGTTTAAGTTTAATGTACATTTAAAAAAAATACAACAGTGAAATTATTAAATAACAGTTGCAACTGAAGGAAATCTGAAATTTACTGAATCAAAATCAAATGAAGATATTTCTCAAATATTTTGTGAGTAGTTTGTGGTTGATTCAGCTGTGAGATCCAATATTTACATAATGTATTTACAGTAGATGATTGACTTGTTAGCACCTGCATGAAAATGAAAATTCAGACCTGAAAATTCACAAGCTGAACCTTTTTACCCTAACAAAACAGCAGTCACAGCAAAATAGGGGTGAAACATGCTCATATATAACATTGGAAAATAAAATAGTTAAAATAAAAATAGTTTAAATCTCGACACGTTAAAGACGGATTCTGTCCTGGATTATTATAATCCCTTGTAATTTTGGATCCAGAGGAAAAATCGTTATGTAAGAAAATAATAAATCCTTTTAGAAATAACCTTCAAAGAAAAGCACCACTAAATTGAACACATATGAGACTTTTTATGCTTTTTATATGCAGGATGCTTTATTTAAGCATTTCTGGGAAATAAGGGTGTTTTTCATTTTCCTTCTTTTCATGTCCTTTTTTTTTGTATTTTGAATGCACAATTTGATGTCACTTAAAATCAGTGTAACAGTCCGAAAAAGAAAATGAAAGGTGATGAATCGTCAAATGTTATTTGCAATACCACAAAATACCTCTCAAATATTCTGCACACTGTTGTTACAGTAAATTCTCAGAGAATATTATGTCTGAGATATGACAAAATCTGAGCTGCCTCTGATGGTAGCGTGTGAAAAAGAAATAAAACTTCTTGCACCTTGAGGAGAAAACATCGCTCACAAACCAACTCCAATCATGATTTGTCCTGGATCAGGAGTTCCCAGCGGCTCCTTAGGATCCAGCGAGGTGGACAGGCCAAGAGGGCAGAATGGTATGTAGCGCAGCCAGGAGAAAGAGGACAAGTAGGAGGTCATGCCAAAGGGGAGGTTGTACACTTCTCCGGTATCCAGGGTTTCACAGGAGTCGTCTTCGTGAGCTTTATTCCAGGCCAGGATGCCGCGTTCCTCCTTGGATCCTTCAGGAAACCAACAATTTTTTTAGATGAGCATATTTAGCCTTTGGCACTTTTACTAGCAACAATCACCAAATGATAATAGATGGCCTATTACCATCAGGATATTCTTTAATTATCTGATGATAGCCTTTTTGCAGAAAAAAACAAGCTTTGACAAGAATGCCACATTTTGGCTTATGATACAAGATCAAAATACTCTTCAAGTCTGATTATTTGGATTATTAAAAAAAAAAACAAGGGAAAGTCGAATATGCTTTGAGCATTGAATGAGGGAGGTCATGTTACTGATAATTTAGAGTACCTGGGATGGTGTTGTCCAGTATGAAGCCGAAGAAACCTCCAACAAACATGCTGGTGGTCAGAAGTACTTGCAACATCTGATCAAATTCCACCACACCTGGAAATAAAAGGAGATACATTTTTTTATTACTATTTCGAACTTCAGTGTGATAAAAATCAAAATCAGTGAAACCAATTATCATATCAATCAAATAAAAATTGATGAGCTACCTGTGGCAATAACGTTGGGGTTTTTTAATATCCAGTTAGGAATGACCAGACCAGAGAACATGGAGAATCCAAAAATGAAGATGTTTCTTGATGAATTCATGTCGGTGTACTGAACAAGTGAAAAATATTTTTTTATTGTCAATACAGTAAAAGAACTCCGTTAAATGTTTGGAAATAGATCAAGCATGTGTACCTGCAAATTAGTGACTCCTGCTGCACAGATGACACCAAACATAACCATGAACATTCCTCCGATCACAGGTGAGGGGATGGTTGCAAATATAGCACCCATTTTACCAAGTATCCCCATGGCAACCATGAACACACCGCTTGCCACTATGACCATACGGCTCCCAACCTGAGAATTAGGAGTTCATGCTTAAGCATTTGTTTTTAAAAACTGCTTAAGCGTTGGATCAGAGTAGTTTAGAATACCATCTGGCTTAATGAAAGTCAATTTTCTTACCTTTGTAATACCGAGGGCTCCAACATTCTCACTGTAAGAAGTGGTCCCATTTCCAGTTCCCCATGCTCCAGCAAGTAGACAACCTATCCCTTCAATCCCAATACCCCTGTTGATGGCATGTTTGGGTGGTGGTGGAGCTCCAGATAATCGTGCACATGCATGGTAATCCCCAACAGACTCTATCATAGAGGAGATCACCCCGGCCAGAATCCCAACCACCCCTGCCAGGCTCACAGTCGGTCGTCCCCATTGTCCTAGATTTGGTTTTAAACATAACGACAGAAAATGAGACCATCTTTATAAGAAACTATTTCAATACTATACATTATATTTATAATGTTATATACATAAACATAATACCGGTACATATTCTTATTTGCACAGTTGAAGAGTCATTCAGGTCCACCAACAATAATTTTCAAGTTTAGCCTTTTGTCCGTTTTCAGTCAAGGTAGCCTCCTTTGTATAACAAGTCTCCTCATTACATAATGTAGTCTACAGACTCCTGCTGATTCCTCACAGTTATCCCAAAAATAATGTAACACGTATGGCATCAAATATAATAGAGAAAATAAAAATAAAGGGCATAACAAACTAAACACATTTTTTTCAATAATGCTCTCTTTAAATGAATATTATTTCAGTTTCAACATTTTGTCTTTTTTGTAAAATCTTAATAGCCGACTTTTTTTTAAATCTCTCAGGCTGAGTCAATATTTGTTCTCCCCAGTCTTTAGGTGACTCTCTTTTTCATGATTTTGGCACTGATGACTTAATAGTTCATTCTATTCATCTGCCAAGCTCTGCCCAGTTGCTCATTACTGTTAATCTCATCCACCTGATCCTGCCTCTATTTAAGCTGCTTGCTGCCTGTCATCAGTGCCAGATTATTCAAGACGTTGATGAGGGTTCTCTAGCGAACTTGTTTGTGTTCTGATTGTCGGATCCTGATTAGTGTCTGGCTTTGGACCTCTGAACCTGCCTGCCCCTATTCTGATCTGTTTGCCTCACCTGTCTTCAGACTCCTGCTGGATCTGTCTCCTGATCCTGACTTAGATTTCCCTTTGGTACCTCTCTGGATCTCTGATCTTTTGGCGTGGGCTCCTGTCTATCTCATTGACACCGGCTTTGCATTCTTCTTCTGGAAACTCCTGCTTTTCCTCATCTGCAGCCAGTCCAGCAGCCTTCTTGGCCTCTGTCCCTTAAAACTCTCTCGGTGGCATCCCCCATGTGCTCTTGGAAATAATCCGGCTGATTTCCACTCCTTTTATGAGCTCGGACTGAACTTTAAAATCAGAGATTCCGGCCTTTGTCATCCTAGCTGCTGAGTCACAGATTTGACGTCTTCTTGAAATTCTGGGTCCAAGGTTCTGACTTCTGACACTCTTTTGTCGCATTTGAACTCACTAATATTTAAAACCCTTTCCTTTATTGTCCTCTATCATAAAATCCTAGATTCCCTTAAAGAAAACAAAACCCAGCTCACATAACTCTTACCAATAGTAGCCCAAAGATCAAACTAAATTTGAACTGATCATAATGTCCTACTACACATTTTGATTTTATATTGCATGTGAAATAAAAGGCAGGACGAGCACATAGGACGGCCTTACATAAACATATCACCAGAATTATTGACAATTAGGAGGCCCACTTATTTTGATGATCCAACTGGAAAAAGAACATTTTCTACTATACATTTAACTAAAGGTTGAAAATGAAAAAAGAAATGTCAAACATATCTCAAATTTGAGTAAAAGCTCAAATTAATTTCTTGTTCTTTGGTTTGACAGCAAGTAAGACTACAAAATATAGAACATTGCAAATAAATGAGCGAATTTGTTGCATTCTTTCTTAGTTTTTATATTTCTGCTCTTTACATGGCTGACATTTTGCATTATTTTCTGAGAATTTTTATTATTTTTTTTTTATTCATCTTGAAAAAAAAGGTATCAGCGTCTATGAGAAATATTAGGAGTTCTGAGAAATTCAAATGTTATTTTTAAACTCTAACCCTGTAATACCTTACCTGGGTATGGGAATGTAAACCAGGGAGCTTGATTTATTACGTCTCCTTTTAGATCTGTGCGTGCAAGGTAACCATACTGTCCTGGTTCAGCAGGAAGCACATCATATCTTGTCAAGATGTAACAAATGAGCCAGGAAATTGTAATTCCCATTAAGACCTAAAATTTGAAACAAGGAAAAAAAAATCACATTTGATCCTTTTTTAATGGAAAAGATATTTTCTTCAGCGACATACTGGAAGAATTTGAAAGATGTAGACTCGAGAAGTGTGGAGCTTTTTATCCTTGCTGTATGTAGGAAATGGCACAGCAATGTGACGGAGGTACTGTGAAAATAGGATTATCAAAACTGTAGTCCTGTAAGAAATAAGGAAAACAGACTGAAATTAGACAACTTAGACAGAACATGGAAAAACTAAGTATGATCTGAATTTAAAAAAAACACACACACACACACACACACAGTAACAGACTTCTTGGTTTAAATAACACAATTTAAATTTCCAATCAGTTTTCAAATCAAATGATGTTGAAGAAAAGGCAGATTAACAACAACAAAAAAATGTCTTGAAAAACATAATTGTTGAAAAGCACTCTGTTTTTTGGCCAGACACTACATGTGTATACCTGCATAAAATAATTATTTTCAAAGAGTTACTCAATTAGTTGCTTTGTTCCTTTGTTCGTTTCACTGTAAAGAAACTTCACTCACATTGAAGAGATGCCCCAGTGGTTGCCAGCGCTGTTACCAGCTGAGTCAAACAGTGACAGACCAATGAGAGCAATGGTGGGAGCAATGGTTAGAGGCCCAATAAAGCGCATGAAGAGGCCGATGAGGCCAGAAAATCCAACAAACACCTGGAAAAGTGAGCCCACAATAATGGAACCCTGCAGCTGAAAACAGAATAACCTCAGAATTAGGCAGCAGAAATTACATTTTAGCCAAGAACTTAAACTAGATACATAAAACAAAAACAGCCATACACTTTATTTTGGTATGACTAAATAAAATAGAAAAAAGGTTTCAGTTTTTTGGGTATTTTGTAGTTATATTTTCCGCCACAAGATGGTGCTAAGCTGTGCCCCATCTATCAGTTATAGGTATAGTTGTCATTTTTACACCGGTAAAAATGACAACTATAACAAATAAAGCTGGAAAAAAAGGTGGATATAATTCAGAGTTATTTTTTTCAGTAGAATTTATTTTATTTGCATTGTTTTAGCAAATGTTTACACACACACAAGTAATTATAAAAAACAGATTATCAAATGTTAAAAAATAGCTATGAAAGCCAACCTGGTCTCATGTAAAAAGTATTACAGACCTACTTGTTATTGAATTAAGAATAATTAGCCTCGGTTTACTCTTCAGCTATTTAAAATACATTAGTTTCTATAGTTTAACAATGGCTCTCTAAATCAGAACTCATCTAGGAGGTCATGGAAAAAAAACAGAACAACATCTACAGCTCTTCGGCATCCCTCCCTCTGACAGGGTCAGAGGTCATGTTTTTAACAATTTAACAATTGTGTGAAATTGGCTCCATGGTATAGTTGTAAAGCCACAACTACTTCTGCCATAAAGCTAAAGAAGTAAACATTTACACACAGAAAAACATCCTAATTTATCCCGGGGACTTTAGGTAAAAAGAAAAATCAGTGGACAAGAGAGATAGATGTGGACACAAACTAATATGGAATTGTAAAAGAACAACATCACTACGAGAGTCAAGCATGGTGGTGGTTTGATAGTCTGGGGTTGCTTTGCTCATTTAGTACAAGTACATTTAGTAGTTTGATATAAAAGATGGTCTTTATATGACCTTCCTAGTCAAAGTCTGGGCCAAATCTCTTTGAGAATCTGTTCCTTGACCTTAAATAGCCTGTTCATGCAAAGAGATCCTGCAAATCTAAGGATATAAATTTTGCAAATAATAGTGGTTCCAACTGATCTAAAGGAGTCCTTAATAGTTATAAGAACACTTTGTTTCGACAAAGCCAATTATTAGATTTTATGGGAGATCTTTAAAGGGTCAAATATGCAAATTTAGCTTGGAAAGGGAGTTGAGTTGAGAGAGGACAATTTTATTGGAAGTTATTCAACTTCCTGATATTTTTGCATCTTGGAGAAAATATATCAGTTACATGTTTACATGAAAATCTTTTCTACGTTTATCAGAATTAGAAACATATATAGGTCTGCTATTTTTCTTCTTTTTTTTTGTCTGACTTTTTTTACATCAGAAATTTTACATCTCAACAGCGATCTAACATGTTTATAAAGTCTAAACCCTTCGTAAAAAGTCAAAAAAAGTTTGACAGGAAGGATCAAGAGTTATAATAGGGCAGATTTATTTTCATAACTTATTTTTTCTCTCTCGATCTGCTAAAAGGTAAAAATCCTGTGTTCCTGTATGTGTAACAAATGGTTTCTGCTGTTAAACAAGAGTTTAGGCCTTTGCTATAAAAGGATGAATGTTAAAAGTTAACTTACAGCTCTCAGTCGACTCTGCCATACTTCTATAAACTCTGGGGAGGAGGTGTTGACTGAGCTGATGTTTTGGGTCCAGGCTGGACATACAAACTCAGGCATTGACAGCATCGCCATGGAGGGGGCCAACAGTGTGAATGTGCCACCTTGAAGAATGGGCAGTCTGGGAACAAAGATGGCAGCCAATATTTCAAATTATTTTGTTTCAAACCATACCACTGCAAAACTGATTGTGAAACTTTCATATGAAAAGGCAAAGAAATATGTGGAAGACTCTACACTGTGTTTGAACTTACAGTCTCCATTCATTCTATCTGTAAACGTGGTTAATTCAAATCATGTGAAGCTAGATAGTGACTCTCCTATTAGACACACAGACCCGAGGTTAAGTAAAAGCAATCAGCTGCTAATGATTGTCTTTATGCTGCCTACTATCAACAATACACATCAGACTTTCCAGTGAAGCATATCAATCAGTAACGTGCAGGAATTTATTCAAAGAGCCTACGATTCATATGAAGATGCATGTGAAGGAAACGAGACATGAGAAGTAGATATTACGAAATATTTTGTTTGCTTGTTTGTTTTGCTTGGAAAAGTTCTGTGGACACAAAGTTTTCCTGACAGCTCATTCCTAATGTTTAAGAAAGGAAGAGAAAAAATCAGTGGTTCTAAACCAGGATAATGTGGGTTTGAGTAGGAACGAGATTCCGGACATAATAAGATGGAAATTCCTTGGCTAATCCAGCTGTGACGACAGTTATTTAGGAAGGCTGAGCTGCAATGTTCACAGCTTGAATTCACATTTAAAATCTGTCATTTTCAAAAGCAAGAACAGCTTTTATTTGGCAAAACTTCGGACTGTAGTGATATTAACTTTTCCAGATTTCTCTCGTTTTTGCTTTTCTTTCAAATCTGGATGCTCAGGTCAAACAAACAAATGCTTTTAAAAAGTCAAGGGTAACTTAAATAGATACAAAAAGCTATTCTCAGATTACAATTTCACTCATTAAGAAGATAAAACTCTTTCCAAATCAATCAGCCAAGAGAGTTGCCCTTTTAAGCAAGAGCTAGTTGTGCAAATGAAAGCAACAACTTTAATCAAGTGAAGTTTAGACCCAGTCTTCTTTCCAGTATTGTTTTAATTCAGCCACATTCAGGTTTTCAGTAATAATCGTCTGTGTAGAGTTGTGGCAGTGTATACGACTGAGTCTGGACTTTGACTAAGCCACTCCAAAACCATTTCTTTGATTTCTAATCCACTTAGGGATATACAAACTGGCGTGATTTAGGTTGTTTGTTTTTCTTGTGGTTAAAGTAACAAGCTGATGATAATGATGTTATTATTTTATTTTGAAGGATCTTTTTTTTCAAGAGTGGGATCGGAGATGTGCATTTTGTGGGTTTCCAGTCACCCAACTATGTTTGATATTAAATTTAATTCAATCTGAGTACGCCATTTTGGTAAAGGTGCAGAGGTTCTTCTTTGTAATTTTGTGTCTTTTTCTTTTAATATATAGTCTGTTCTGATATTGATTCCTTTTTATGCTTCCGATTTTTAGAGGATTTTTTGGTCTCGTAATTTTTTTTTAAGGGTTTTAGACTTTTTTTTTTTACAGACTTTTTAAAAAAAAGTCTATAATCCTTCTATACTAACAAATGTTGGTGGAACATGCTTTTATTTGTTGGCACATCTGATTTCCCCCACCATAGGATAACAGAATATGTTTGAATTCTCTGATGGGACCAAACAGCTTTAGGTTTTTCCAGCAAGAGAGCAAAACTGATGATTCCATCAATTTTAGAGGGTCATACAGATCAAAAAGCAACCAAGCAGATCAAATTCCACACACCACAGCCACCATGTTTATGTGATAATCTTTATCTCAATTGATGTTGGTTTTATATCAGATTTAAAGACACATACCTTTTAAAGATTTTCTCTTTTACCTCAGCTATTCACAGAATATTTTCCCCAAAGTTTTGGAAATCCTTTATCAAATGACCAAGATGTTCTTGGTCAGCAGCGGATTATGCTTTGGATGAAATCCCTCTCGTGGAGCCCATTTTTGCTTCAGTTCTATTTATATTATTGAATACAAAATTCTTGATTTAAGTGAGGCCTGCAGAGCTTTCGATTTTGCTCTGTGCTATCTGAATGAGCACTTGGAGTTTTTGTTGTTGTTGGTCTCTGCTAAGAAGTTCTTTCACTGTTTTATGTGTGAATGGTTGTTCTCAAGGTGTATCTCTAAAATTTAATAAACAGCTTTGTAATCATTTCAGGCTAATGTTAAAAACATGTGTCTCTTCCTTTCTTGAATTTTTAGATTGGGGTATAATGTGTTGGCTTTGACATCAAAAAGCCTACTCATCACCTAAAATTTGATTCCTCAGATCTGCAGGTCTGGCAGAGTTGAAAACATTTGGATTAGCAACTGAAAATGAATTAAGTTTTTCAACAAATTAATTAATCACAGTAAACTCAACAATTAACAAAGACGAAATACTTTTTCAAATAGGGTCACATTGGTTTCGATAGCTTTATCTCTTTATGAATTAAATCTTTATCAAACATTCAGCTTTTTGTATTAACCTGTTCTCTTTGTCCTATATTGATGATCTGAAACATTAGTGTTACAAAAGAATCAAATAAAAGCCAAACAATCTGCAGAAGGGTGCATATTTTCATTACCAGCACTGTGTGATTAGTAGATCTTTCAGAAGACTACATAAAGCATTGCTGAAATATTTTTCCTTACTTTTAATTTTAGTATTATAGCAGACAACACTGACAAATCTCAAAGATATGAATAAGCCTTTACAATATACAAGATTAAAACATTGTTTTGGTTTGCTCTATTTGGTTAATTCCACTTTGATGCACCTTGGTTTCCTGTCTGGCAACTGAGTTTAATCAACAATAATTGAAACACACACTAAACATGTTAAGCAGCAAAGATATTTAGACATTTGTCTGCCAGGTTAACATTGTTCACTGCAGTCCTTCTACCTAGTCCTTACCTGATACCAAAGGTAACCTGCAACAAGGTGCAGATTCCAGAGACAAAGAAGATGGTGCTGATGAGGTAGCTCTGTGTGAGGCCATCATGCTGCAGACACAGGCTCTGAGACAGGATCAGGGGGATGGCGATGATGCCCCCAAATGCAGTTAAACAGTGCTGTAGCAAAAGAAAAGATACTTTTTTTTTTTAGAAGGAGCTTGTTTTTATTCAAAGTATATAAGGGAATTAAAAAGTTTGACCTTTAATGCATGACTTCATTTAAACACAAACGCAGAGCTTCTGTTTGCAATATCTGACGTTAATGAATAAAAAGAAGTCCAACCAGCTGTGAAACTGACTGAATCTCTTGTTTACATTGTGATACAACTTAGGACATTCTGCTGCTCTGTTTTTTTTTTTTTTTTTGTAAAAGAAATTTAATAAAACCAGTGAACAATTTTCAGGACATACCTGTGTTCCTAAGAGGATGCAGAGGTACCATGGAGGGACATCTGTCACGCAGTATGCCAGTTTGTTAGTGTTTCCTTCAATAGAGGAGTCCAGGTCCTTTCCTTTCTCAGGTAGTTCACAGAAACCTCCTTCCAGCTTCAGTTGGTCAGTATAAAGAAAGATGTCTATGAGGATGCAGTTATAAAAAGCCCCCTAACATTTCTAATATTGCCATTAATTTTACATATTCAAATGTATTCCTTAAAGTGTTTGTTTAATTTGTTTAGACCAATAAAGTGAAAGGGAAGCAAATGTCACATCTTCTGTACCAAAGAAATGTAGAATCTGCATAATAGCAAATGAAAATTCAATGAGAGGAAGAAAACAGTTTTTGTTTGTATTTATCATTTTTGTAGCAGCTTTATTCAGTCTCAGCTGTTGACAACATATTAGACTTATTTAAAAGTCCAGCTTTTACAAACTTTTAGATAAGATACTAGAATACTGTATTACATTAACACATTTCACCTACTTAAGCATACAAATTTCTTCTGACAGCGTTTTAAAGATAGTGAATTCATCTCCAGGATTCCAAACAGGGAAATTAAATGTCAATTTTTGTACAAAATTAGACCTAGTATGGGCCGAAAATTAAAAACAAACTCACCGCAAATGCATAGTTGTCAAGTCCATTGCTTTCTTTCTCTGAGGTCATGACAGCTTTAGCTTACTGGCTCAAGTGTAGGTGCCCCGAAGTTTGATAAGAAGCAGAAAAGAAAAAAAGAGAGAACCTAACAAAATGAACAGCACTGGAGTGAAGCATCTGACAGAGCGCCAGGAGGTGGGAGAGAGGGTGGGGTAGAGAGCCTTGCCTGCTATGTAAAAGCAGATCTCAGACATGCGACTGCAGCTCGTGCTGACTGAAATAGGTCCAACCAAGCGCTCATGTGAACCGAATTACAACAGTAGCAGCAGCTGACCAACCAGCATTTGGCAGGCTGGAGATACTTTGTCCTTTTCACTGTAAAACAAATACTAATCACATAAGAAGCCTTTAAGGCCACACCGGGGCAAGAAGAAACTCCCAAGGAAATTAAGCTGAAAAACTTTTATTAATGGGCAAAAGTGACGTAAAACATTAGGGGCAAATGTGAGTCTCTAAACTAAAATCAAACCTAGATCCATTAATCAGATCCTGACTCAATCACCCTCACCCTTATTGCTCCTATTTCAATACTGCTTGTATAATTTCACCACCTGAAAAACACAGATTCATTAACTCCCTTTAAAGTTGCTGCTCTTGTTTTCTCCATAATATAACTGTTGGTTAGTGAGCATTAAAGTTTTCCTGAAACTGCTCTACTTTCCTTTTAATTTTGACAGTGAGTATTTTTTTTACAGGGTAAACCTCCATGACTATCACGTGCTGCAAAGTATCACACAGGACAAGGCTTTTATTCATGGGCTGCTGTAAAAGTTCTGTAACTTCATTTCCCTCCAAATGGTATTAGCTTAAATTATATTATTAGTCTAAATTAAGAGTTTGATAGTAGCCCACACTGACCTAATTAACAGAGTCCAGAAGGAAGACAGTCATTGTCACACTTATAGCATAAAAATCGCTGCTGTTTCAGTCCAAGCATTGCTGATGCTTATCTCATCTTAGAAAAGTCATATTATAGGTCACAGGTTGAAGACACTGATGAGACCATAAAATATAAACATTACCAAAATAGTCATATTTAAAACATCAATACATGACAGACATAAGTCCAGTACATAGATGCGAAGCGTAACTTGTCAAGCTTGTACTCATTCTTGTGATCTTACACCTATCCTGGGCTGGGTGGTGTGGAGCAGCAGACACGCCCAAATTTCCCTCTTTACAGACACTTCCCCAAGCCCCCAGAGGTGTTTTCATGGCAGCTGAACACATCCAGAGTTAGGCATCTGATGCCTGAGCCACCTCACTGACTCCTTTTGAGTAGGGGAGCAGTGAATCTACTGCTCTCCCTTGGCTCTCCTCTCAGAGCTTCTCTTCATATTTCCAGGGGAAGCTTATGATGGATATTTCTTGACCATAGATGAACGTAAGAACTTAGAATCAAGAGCTTTGATTTTTGTCTTGAGTCTCTCTTCACAACAAAGGACTAGAGCCGGGTCTACTAGACTTGCAGCTTTTTGTGTCTATTGATCTATGGCTCCACACTAAGAAGCTCTTAGATCTGAGCTGTCAGCAGCTAAATGCGTATAGCCCCTATGGGACATCTTATAGTGAACAGGCTCCTGCTGATGCGTCAAAGAAAGAGCGGTCAAGAAAAACCTTAAAATAGGCATGAGACCCAGGTGAAGCCAGGTTCCCACTCTGGAGCCAGGGGCAATGGCATGATCTCATCAGCAGACGCCTGATCCTCACAAACTCTGTCTAGACCCAGCACTAATTAGTCATGCAAAATCATCCACTGGCATGCCCACCACCTGCAGGGAGAACAGTGAGAGACCAGTGCAGAGCTGAAAAGACTTCTGAAATACAACATATAAGTAATTTTCTCTATTTTCTCTATGGTGTTTTTTTCCTCTCTGATAGACATGATTTTAGACACCAGCACTGCTAAACATTCATCAGAAAAGAGAACAATGACTTGAATAAAATTCTCCAAACACAACAGTTTAGAAAAATTTATTTTACATCTATCTTATAAACAGCAGAACAGCTATGGTGAGAGAAGTTTGGTTTTGTGATAGTTATTTTTTTATATGTAGGGAGCCATCAAGTCAGGCAAACACATTTTTACATCCCTAAAACATTTTGAATAATGGATGTTGTTGGACTGTCTTGGCTGAAATGGCATAAGAAAGGAGACTGGAGGGTGTGTTCCAAATATGGGGGGGATCACACTGGTCAGCATTGCCAGCATTAAGTCGTACTAAGACCGGGTGCATGTTGGGACCGGCGGGTTTCATACTTGATTTTTGGGGATGAGGTGGTGGTTATACTAATGGACATTGATAGGCCCTATGTCATCAGATGAGTGGCGTGCTGATATCTTGAGTCAGACCAAGCTGCTGGCGGAGATAATACATGTCAATTGAAGCAAGTGGGACTTTATGATTTCAAACACTCTGAATCTCATGAATTCTCAACCGATTTCAAGGGCTACATAGCACCAACGGATTGATTTAAGAATTTTCTAATCTAATATATAATTTCAATTTATGCCCAACTTTTATTCTGCCTATGAATGAACAAATAAAATTAGACTACAAACAAGACCCCATGGAATCACCTTTTACAAGTAGGATTTTATGATAGATTATTGCCATATTTCACAATTGCTGTTATTGCCACTGTCAACACAAGAGGTGCTGAAAGCTCATAACATTTTTTTGATCTTTCAAGAGTTTGTGACATGTAAGTGCTTATTGTGATATTATCTCTGACTTTTCTTATATGTGATTGAGACATACACATATGCACCCCCTTGGGTCACAACATAGTGACGGGTCACAGAATTAGTTTTAACAGCTGAGTGAAAAGGCAAAGCTCTCAACTACCGGTCAGTCTGCATTCCTACCTTCACAGGTGTATACAATCCAGCCCATCAACGTGCTACAGACTGTTTCAAAGAACAATAGGGAAAGAATGGTTCACTCTTAAAAGAGCAGTGGTTTCCAGTGTGTTAGTGTGATACGAGTTGTAGTATCCTCATTGCTAAATATGACACATCCAGCTGATAGTGGTATATATATTTTTCTCTTGTGATTTATCAAATAAACTCTAAACAGTTTAAAAACCTGTTGCCACATCTGACTCTGATTAACACATATTAAGTATTAAACTGACAGTTTTTCACAACAAAGGTGAATAAAGGACACATTTTGGTTATAACACTGGGAGAACATTTTACTTATACAAAAATATGTGTTTTTACAGCAAAGAAGTGGTTTAACTGTATTCAAGTAGAAAAAATATTGTTTCTGTAATAAATAAGAACTTAACATATATAAAATACACTGGAGAAAATCATAAATCAATATATTTTTTTATTTTGGTTAAGGAAGTAGTCTTTTTTATTTATCTTTAAACACTGCAGCCTGCAGGATGTCATTAGTCCCAAGAAAATTTGCAAGTTTTATTTAATCGCCCATGTCTTGTTTTAAAGTAACACTTGATGCATCTCTTCCATGCAACTATTAACAGCTATTGTTGTGGGATCTTGTGATGACCTCTGTAAAAAATCAATTTGATTTATGATCCAGCCTCAAACATAGGAATGAGCCTTTTCTAATTGATCTGTGAAAGAAGACCTGACAGGGTGATCATTCACATGTCCTGGTTTCTTAAAGTTCAAACATAAATGTGTTATGGTGGAACTGTGAAACAAAGGAAATAGTTCAAATGAACTCAAAAACAATGCTTTAAGTATCCTGATCCCAGCATCCAATCAGATGCATAGTGGAAGTGTCCAAGAAGTTAAAATACAACTACTTAAAAATGGCACATCTTTTAGAGTCCTGACCAAGGGTCCTTTTACTAAAAAAAAGTTTGTAAATCCAACTAAAATGACTTTGTCCTCAAATTCTAAACTGACTATTGTTATTTTTGTAATTATACAAATATATTTTTACGCTTTTACACTTTAACACATAAAGGTTTATATGTGAGAAGCTGATTTTATTAATCTTTTTTTTTTTTTTTTGCTCAAGACAATGGTCACTTAGTTCTGTTGAATCTAACAGCTGACTTTGATACAGTAGAACATTAGATCCTCCTTTCCCACCTGGGTTGAATTTCTAAAAGATTACATCAGATTAAATATTCAATTTGAAGGAATTTTTTTAATAAAATATTGACAGCTTACTAAAACACAGATATAATTTTCTCTTCTTAAACCTAGAGTATTTTTATATATATAATTTATATTATATAATTATATAATAATTTCTGCCTGAAGAATATTTAGAATATAGCACTGTAGTCATGAGATCTTATGTAAACCTTTGGTATCTCTGTAAGGGTGAGGAATAAAACATATTTTCCAGTGGCAGTATTTCAGATGTAACCATGCCAAAGTTTCTTTACTGAAACAAAACTCCTTTCTTCTTTAAGCCTCAGCTAAACCTGCAAACAGGCTGTCAGGCTTAAGTTTAAGATAAAGCTCTTCCAGATTTATTATAAACTATGCTTAGTCTCCCTCACCTTAACCGCATGAAGGTTAAGTGTGATTCTGCAGCAGAGGTTTTACTAGCTTTCCAACTTCAGGCAGCTGATGTGCTTGTTTCCTTGGAGAGCCTCAGAGAGAGGTCATCAAGGATGTCAACCTGGGACCTCTCACACCCAAAGCAAGGCTCATAACGCTAGACCTATGAGCCCCTATGCACATCAACACTTAGAAGTGTGTGAAAGCTAGCATACTGCATGAAATCTGATCTTTTTTGTCTAGCCATCAAGTCCTACAGAATCCACTGGGGGCAACCACCCCTTTCTTAAGTTTCCGGACTATGCATGCATTCACAGCTTGATAACGAAGCTATGACCAGGAAGTGGTATTCTTCCTAGTGCCAAGTGGATAGCATATGAACCTCCTCTCATCCCTATCAGGAGCTATATGGATGCCCAAAATCCTTTGCCTGAAAGGATATATGCACACAATGTTTTACAATATACCTATCTTTATGAAGTGTACTGTTTCACACAGTTGGTCACACAAAGGT